AAGCCGACGTAGCTGACGGAATTCTGCCATCTTCCTGGCTCGGCATCCACGGCTGGCCCAGACTTGGGCTGGTGTCGGTGGGGGTTTGTAGTTTTTTTGGGGGGTCTTTTCGCTCATTTCTTCGTTTTGGTTGCTGCATCCATGTCTTCTTGCGTTCCCCGCCTTCGGAGCGTGCGTCAAGCCCCAGAATCCTCCCTGTTTTCTTTTTTTTCATAGTCCACCCCGTCTATTCCGTTGCCCCGTCCCGTTGGCCAGAGGCGCCATTGTGTAGGCGGGCGCTTGTGCTTACTCGTACTCCTTTCCCCGGACCTTCGAGCAGTAACCATTCTGAAATATAAGCTCTTCGAACTGCTGAACCCTTACAACCCAATTGCATACAGCCCCAAGTGAGCTTGGAAGGAAAAAAAAAATGCAGACAGATGGGCTAGACATATATAACATGGACGAAACTTGACATTTAAACGTGTAGATTATATACAACTTGGGTGTCGATGCGTCATGAATAGGACATATGATAAACGACTGCACATTTATATCAGTTGACCGAGGACCCGACAGTTGCACGCGAAACACACTCAATAGGATGTTCTAGACTCGTGACCAGTCTGTAAACAAAATACCGAAAAAATGTGGCAAGCACTTCGGTTGTTTACACCGAAGTGCTTGCCACATATTTTCGGCAATTGTTTTACAGACTGGTTACGAGTCTAAGGATGTTCGTAAATGGATAGATTTGAGCAATGGAAAAGCCGCGCGGTAGGCCGTCTTGGAGAGCCCGACATGGTTCACATGGAGGGATTTGAGGCGACATTGCGATCTGAAAAGGAACGAGGTGATGGTGGAAATGGCATTATCTCCGAGTTGGCGCTCCGAAACCGTAAGCAATCGTAGGGCCGGTGCGGTGAGCGCGTCGAGAAGTACCTCTTGAGCGTCTCCATAATGGTCCGGAAGCGAGAACTCATCTACGAACGATAATGTTTGCAGATTCATCAAAGGTGGTAAATCATCAGGAGCTTCGTTATAGATCCGCATGTGGATGGCCTTGAACTCCACAAGAGATGTGGCAGCACTCAGGACATCCGCAACTGCTAGGAGATCGTACCCAGACACAGAGATTCTTGTAACCTGCGCCCAAGGCAGGGTAACGGAGGTGGGAGAGTAACCCCCAAGCCTCGCACTGGTCATATTCGGCGCATTCCGGAATGGTGTGGGGACCAGTCCACAGCCCTGTTCGAGGTGATTGCTGACGCAAAAGGGGGAAGTCGTTGGCCGAGTCGCCACATCAGGAAATCCGAAGTTGCTGTGGAGACCACGATAGACCCACAGAGACATTATAGACGTCATAGCAATACCTTGTCTATGATAGCTGGGGGGGAGGGGGTGGGTCCATTCTCATAGACCACCATAGACCCTCATACTGTGGGGCACGACTCCATAGCCCTCATACTCATAGCCCTTAAAGTGTTCATAGACCGTCAGAGTCATCAATGCCATAGGGCTCAGAGAGCTGATAGAAGCCATACTGAATCAATTACGACGGATTAAATTGCACGCTATTACTGAACAATCGTCACGTCGGTACACACGAAATTATGGGGGTTAAAATAGGCAATTTATAATAGATGATGATAGACGATTAAAGAAAAATAGGGACGCTTCGAATCTTGAGAGATTATAATGAAATCTCCATTGCACAGTAGTCAGGGACAAGTGGCGGCAGACCATCAAGATAGACTTACGTTTCTACGGGGCCACGGTGGCGGCGGCGACAACGGGGACGGTCACTGCAGCGGGGGGTTGGGGTAGTGCTGACACTGGCTTCTAAAGCGGCGAAATCGATACCGTCAAGCTCATCGTCGGCCGCCGTGGCTTGAGACAACAGTAAGTTGAGATGAGCAAAGTTCGACGTTGTGCTGTTTATTTAAATCAAATTGCGAATGCTATTTTAGGACCACCACTTACATGATTTTCGTATACAGTTTCTGCTGGAAGTCAGCGAACCAACTCGGTGACTTGCTTTGAATGTTGAGGACGGCCGCCAAATGACGATCATATCTAAATTGAGGCATAAAAGCCTGCCGTGCCCTTCTTGATTTTATTTATCTATCTCAGTACAGCACCCATGACGACGGAACTCTCATAGCCATGCGCGAAGCCCTTGATGAATATCACGACAACCGTGATTATTTTATCCTTGCCGGCGTCCGCACCGACTTTAATATCCCCAAATTTCACTCTCTCCTCCATTACGTCGATTCTATCGAGCATTTCGGCACCACCGATAATTACAACACAGAGATGTTTGAACGCCTTCACATCGACTTCGCCAAGAATGGCTGGCGTGCATCTAATCGACGCGATGAATTCCCGCAGATGATCAAATGGCTCGGACGTCAGGAGAAGATCTCTTCGTTTTCTACCTATCAGGCATGGCTCCATTCAAAAGCGAAGCCCCCTGCACCACCAGTCGTGTCCACATTCACCGGACAGGCCATCAAGCTCGCAAAAACCGCCCAGTCTCCTCGGCAACTCCTATCCTCCGTTGTAATAAACCACAATGTCCCGGCGTTCATTCACGCTATAAAAGAGCACCTTAATATTCAGGGAACCGGCCATTTAACTCCCAACCAATTAATCTCCGCCACTCTCCCCATCACACGCGTGGATGTATATCACAACTTCAAATTTGAACCGACGGCGTTGGATCCAACTGCAGATTTGGATGCCCCCGCCGAAGATTTCCAAACAGTTATTGCCCGTCCTGCGGCCTCGGATTCTCCTGCTCGCTTCGACACCATCATAGCGCGGAAGATTTCCTCGGATGGAGAGGCAACTGGGCTAACTGGTGCGCTCACAGCGATTTTATTTGGGACATTCAGCTAATTTAACACCAGGCATGCGCATCGGTCGCGTTAAAGTTTTATTCAGCCTTCCTACAACCCTTTCTGACAACAACCCCGTTCCAGCTGGCTGGCCAACAGGCTGCTTGGCGTATGTGGAGTGGTACTCGGCACTCAAGGCCTCCCACGAAAATAACCACAACATGTATTCAATTTCGAAACCCCCACTTCGCGCGAACGGCTTTGTCCAAGCATCAATTATTCCACTCACCGACATACGCCAGACATGTCAACTGTTTCCTAATTTCGGCCGTGCTGATGTTGACCCGTCGTGGGCCTCTGATACTGTGCTTGATCAGTGCAACACTTTTTTCGTAAATAATTGGACCAGTCTTTACTCATACCAGTCCATTTGGTGATCTCACGGCTCGTAGAATATTTTGTATTTCTTCATAGATATTGATAGACAAATAAAATATCCAGCGTAAATGATAGACATTCATAGGCATTGAGAATCACGGCCGAGTTTCATAGACATAGATAGACAATTATAGTCATCCATAGATTCAAGAGAACTTTCATAGACAGTGAGACACCACCAAAGTCACCACTTCTACTCTAGAGTATTTGGCTTTTTCCTGATGCAATCAAACTAAAACTCCTTCAGGAAGTGCCAAGCGGATGTATTCCCAGCGCTTGGAGTGAGAGAGGATGGCGCGGACAAAATCAGGGAGGAGGGGAGCCTCTGCGTGCGGGTATTCGGCAGACCCATATTCCAGGCATATAGACAGAGGGAGGTCGCCCGATCGTCCCAGCCAAGTTTGGAGAAGATGCAGGAGTGCATTCGAGGAAGAAGTGGTCCCCAGTTGTAATTGCATGGTTCTCCAAAGCCGCGGGCTGTTGAGGGCTATGTCCCACCATTTCCGGCAAATCTGCCCCAAAATAGTAGGGACGGCAGGGCCGGTGAGCTGAGGACGGGTGGGGTAATCGGGGAGAAAGTGTCTAAATATAATCGATGTGACACTGATTTCGGTGGGTAGCAAGAGAATAGGGTATTTGTAGCCGTTGAGACGTGTGTGCAAGTTCTGCAGCCTCCGACGCGCAGTAGAGAGAGATGTTTCGAGAGCGAGAATATGGGAGTCCATGTCTGCGATCTGAGCACGGGTCTCTGCGAGCATCGGCTGCGTCTTGGCTGCGTCAGCTCGGGCTCCGAGTTGGAGGAGCCGGTGGGCACGAAGGCGAGCTCCATTATGTGGCTATGGTAGAGATGAAATGAGGCAGATGCACCAATAGCTTTTTACCTTTTGAGATCCTCAGGACAGGTGCAGTTCGTGGTTGGAAGCAAGGTCGGTCGTGGCACAGAGACAAATATTGTTTGTTCCTGTACTTGACCTGGCAGTCCGGCAACCCACGTGAACGTGTCTTTCCAATGCTCCCCAACGCCTCTTTCTGGCGTCCATGCAACTTATTCCGTTCCACACACGCTCTCATTGATGTAAGTATGAATTATTCTATTGAGGAACTCGGGTTCCCAGAGAAACCTCTCCGAAGTGAGGTTCCCCATCAGTGATGCCAGCGACTCTGAGCGCTCACATCGTCTAGTTTTGCGTATAAAGATAGGCGTCAAAGGTTCTGAATCGCCCTAAGCTTTATGTATAGAATTTTTATCCAGGAATCAACTGTGACAAAATCGGGCAGGCCATATTTCAATCATGGAACTGTACAATCGACACTGGCACAATTACCATCCGCTGGATATTGTCGAAAATAGCAGGCAACATTCTTGGGATCTTGTCCTATCTTATAGTATAGTCTCCAAATTTTTCCAATCCCAAGGGCGAGTGCAGGGCACTTGCCGAGATTAATTGAACTTCCCCTGATCCCAATCCAAAAAGGATGATATCCTTATTTTTCAGTGAGAACAGGCACGCGGCGGGTAAATATGTTCACAGAAAATGTACAGTATATTGGATCGTGGCGCTGGAATATTTAGAGCATGCAGAGCGACATATACAATGGGGGACGGGACTTCAATTAGATCTTTGTACCCTATTCACTGCATTCAGCGGGTCCCTAAAAGCGTAAAAGTGTAAAATCTCTGTTCAGCTGGTGTACTGGGAAATCTTGAGGGAGAAGGAAAAAATTCACCAATGGGCTGAACAACCTAACCTCGATTCGAACGAGGGACTTCCGCATAATGAGTACATCACAAAGTGCAGTGGACGCGATGCCAATTTTGCCATTAGGTCTTCCTCCCATTTACCTTCCCTGTGTGATTGTTTCGGGCTTTTTGGTGGGGCGAATAAAAAGAGCTGGGTTGGGGCCTGACAGGACCTAACCTCGATTCGAACGAGGGACTTCCACATACGCACTGGCTTTCAAAGGGCCGACGAAGCGTGGATACGATGCAATTTTTCGCTATTAGGTCTTTCTCCTTCAAGTTTCTGTTTCGACTTTGAGTACTGCGAAATCTTGTGGGTGAGTCAAAAAAAAAAAAGTGCTAGAGTAACTGGCCATTACCTAACCTCAAGTCGAACGAGGGACTTCCACATCAACATTGTTTGCCCTCAGGGGGAGTGGATGCGATGTCGACTTCGCTATCAGGTCTTCTTGCTATAAACTTGAACCTAAACTAGTGTGAAATTATTTCAGGCTTTTGGGTGGGCTGAATTAAAATGATTCGGTTGGCAGGAAGAATGACATAATCCCGTTTTAGACGAGGGACTTGCACAGTAATGGTACTTTACGGGCCAGGTACAGTGTATGTGTTGTCGGCTTCGCTATTATGTCTTGTTCCTATAGTACTGAACCTTGATGATGCAAAATATTTCAGCAATTCTGGGATTGAAAAAAAAAAGACCAACAGATGGCAGAAGGACCTAACCTCGGTTCGAACGAGGGACTTCCACTTCGACCTTACCCAATACCAACTGAGGTGTCGTGGATGCGATACCAACTTCGCTATTAGATCTTCCTCCCCTTTACCTGCCCTTGGATAGGTGTGTGATTATTTCGGGCTATTGTGTGGGATGAAAACAATAATAATATCGGGACAAGACCCTCGATTCTAACGAGGTCCCACATAAAAAACCCCATTGCGCAAGCCAAGGTGCAGTGGACATGATACCATTTTCGCTGTTAGGTCTTCCTCCCCTTTACTTGCCAGGCTTGGATAGGTGTGTCATTGTTTCGGGCGGGCGTAAATAAAAAAAATCAGAGAGGACGAAGGACTTCCACATGAACCATAGGCTTTCAACTTTCATGGGGAGTGGATGCGATGCCGGCTTCTCTGTTAGATCTTCCTGGTATAGTTCTGCACCTTGCTTGTTGTGTGATTGTTGCGGGGATTGAAAAAAGAAAGGCAAGCAATGGATGCACAGGACCTAACCTCGGTTCGAACGAGGGACTTCCACATAATCGGTGCAGTGGACGCGATGGCGGGTTCCCTATTAGGTCTTGTTTCTCTAATTCTGAATCTGGATTACTGCACAATTATGAGCGCTTCCACCGGGGCAAAAAAAAAAGCATGGATACCTGGCACGACCTGGTCGAACGAGGGACTTCCACATAATCGGTGCAGTGGACGCGATGCCGGCTTCCCCGTTAGGTCTTCCTGGTATGACTGCGCGCCTTGCTTGGTAGCAGATTTTTTTGGGGCTTTTGGAGTAAGTTGAATAAAAATTAACGAGGGCAGGGGCGGAGGACCTAACCTCGGTTCAAACGAGGGACTTTCACATAAACGTCATTGGTATAAACCAAGGTGCAGTGGATGCGATACCATTTTCGCTATTAGGTCTTCCTGGTATAATTATGCACCTTGCTTGGTAGCAGATTATTTGGGGCTTTTGGAGTGATTTGAATAAAAAAAGTACAACGCTAGCAGAGGAAGCGAAGGACCTAACCTCGGTTCGAACGAGGGACTTGCACATAATGCCCAGGCCATCGCGATTCGCACCAGGTGCGGTGGATGCGATGCCGGCTTCGCTATTAGGTCTTCCTGGTATAATTATGCACCTTGCTTGGTAGCAGATTTTTGGGGGGTTTTTGGAGTAAGTTGAATAAAAATTAACGAGGGCAGGGGCGGAGGACCTAACCTCGGTTCGAACGAGGGACTTTCACATAAACGACATTGGTATAAACCAAGGTGCAGTGGATGCGATACCATTTTCGCTATTTAGGACTTCCTGGTATAATTATGCACCTTGCTTGGTAGCAGATTATTTGGGGCTTTTAGAGTGAGTTGAATAAAAAAAGTATAACGCTAGCAGAGGAAGCACAGGACCTACCTCGGTTCGAACGAGGGACTTTCACATAAACGTCATTGGTATAAACCAAGGTGCAGTGGATGCGATACCATTTTCGCTATTAGGTCTTCCTGGTATAATTATGCACCTTGCTTGGTAGCAGATTATGTGGGGCTTTTGGGTAGGTCGAATGGGAAAAAATGAATTAATTGCCTGATAGCAGACTTGAATAGCGAACTTGAAGCCTCGAGTCGACCGAGGGACTCCTTCCGTATAGACAAACAATTCCCACGTAGGTGTGGTGGACGCGATGCCATTTTCACTAACACTGTTAGCTCCTTCTCCTGTAAACCTGGACCAGACTTCGGGGTGAAAGTGAAAAAGAAAGATGTGGGGCACTAGAACACGACTCGAGCGAGGGTCTTCCACATGCCTTATATCAAGAGGAAAGGGGTGTGGACGTGGTACCAATTTCGCTATTACTATTAGGTCTTGTTCATATAATTCGAGAGTTTTTAACAAGCTTTTGATTTTGTTGCGCACAAGTTGCGCATTTTGCGCAGATTTTTTGCAAGTGTGATAGAAAGAGTCATATGAGCCGATATCGCATGCAAGCCGGACCACAGATGCAAGTACGCGCAGACGTTGAGCCGACGGGGATGGGCGCTTGGTGGGCGGAAACAAGCTGGCGGAGCTGACGTAATCCCGTTCAGGCTTCTTGTGTCAGCCCCCTCGCCTCTCCTCGACAGCGCCGAGAGTACCGCTTGGAATACGAGTGATAGGATGAGATACCGCAGCTCATAAGGGGATCGCGGGTGAGGGCGGGAGCTGGGGGTGAATTGACATTGCGAGAGAGAGGTGAGCGGATTGTGAACGACACTTTTTGGCGACTTGGCGGACGGCTTTGGGTGCCTGTTTCTCTGTATTTGGCGACTGGAGGACCTGCGTTCTCGCGTTATCTATCCGGCGCCTCGAGTCTGCGTCGTTTCGGCCTACTCGTTACCTTCGCGGTCCATCTCCCCGTGCGTTCGTGTCGCCCTCCCTTTATCGCGTTCGGTCTATCCTCAGTTTTTCTCCTCCCGTCCTTCCACTCCTCGCCTCTACCGCCCCGCCCCTCACCCCCATGTCGTGATCTGCCGTTCTCCGCCTTTCTTTTCCTCACGTCTTATACGCACCGCATCCGTCCTCCCCTTCACCTGCTCACCTCATCTTACATCTTCCTCCCAACGTATTATCACCTCCCCTGCGCGGACTTCCTCCTTTTGCATACTTCCAATGTGATACAGTGTGCGTTCGCATCGGTCTCCCTTTTCGTCTCTTCATTCAGCTCCGCTCCCCATGCCGACCTCACCCCATCCACCTCCGGGGAACGCGTCGCGCCGCACTCTTCCGCCGCCGCCCCCCTTCCTCGTCTGTCCTTCCCCTCCCCATTTGTCCTCCTTTCTATCCATTTCACATCGCCCTACCTTATATCATATTCATTCCTCCCTTACACACCATCCCAGTCATCCTCCTTTCATACTCTGCCGGGTGCCCGCTCTTCTTCACACCTCGCGTCGCCCACGCGCCTTTTTTTGTCCGGAATTCACCGTTCACGCCTCCCCACGTTCCTTCTCACCCGCCCCGCGCTTCTTCTCACCCGCCCCACGTTCCTCTCCCCGTCTCGCGTCTCCCTGCCCATCTGCCCATCCCCCACTCTCAGAAACTGTCCTCCCCATACCCATCCTTCCTTTGCTCCTCCTTTTCCCATATTCTGTACCCATGACCAATACTAACTCCCCCTCCCCTCGTAGCTGTGCCCCGTACAACCGAAATCACTGTCGACGGCGGAGCCACAGCAGCATCAAGTCCGCGCCGAGTCCGAGTGGTGGTGGAGGAGGAGCGTGCTGCTGCGGCGCCCGACGACGACGCCCGAGGCTGGTCGTGTGGCTGGTGACGCCGACCCCAACGGCTAGTGGGAGCGCGAGCGGGCCAACGGCTAGTGGGCGCACGGCGGAGGAGCGAAGGACGGATGGGAGCAGCACCGCCAATATGCAGCGCGCAGCCGAAGTGATGGAAGGAGGCGGACGCGGCGGCGTGCTTGCTTGTGGCGGACGGGGAGGGATGCTCGTGTGGGCTGTGAATCTGACACCAACGCCGGACGGAGGATCCGGAGCGCAAGCGCGAGTGGAGGACAGGGGAAGGAGGACGACGCCTTCCCGTGGTCCGTCTACGTCCTTATCGTGGGAGATGACGGGCCCGACGAAAGCAGATGGGGCTTAGCGCAGGGGACGCTCATGGGAGCGAGGAGGACGTGCGCGGAGAGGTGCGGGGGCGGAAGGCGAAGGAAGCGTCCCGCGGGTGGACGGTGTATTCCGTCGGGCTATACGTTATCCTCGATGTGCGGCGCCCCCTCGACCCCCGGCGTCGTTCTCCGTCTCTGTCCATATCCACCCCAACTCCGTAAGCACCTGCGCCTGCGCCTTTACTTGCGTCTACAGGGTCATGGAAACAAGCGCCGATAGTCTACGCCGGTAGGGCGCATGGACAGCGCGGGATCGGCGGGGTCGTTCGGGAGCGCGCGCGCGTCAAAGACGTCTGGATCGCCGGCGTCTGCGTCTGGATCGCCGGGGCCACCATCTACTACGGCGACACCGTCCGTGGCGCCGACACAAGCATCAAACGCGACGCCTCCCGTGGCCCGTCTACGCCGCGCGTACATCCATAGCGCGGGAGGTGGCGACGCCGACGAAGGGAAAACCGATGAGGCTGACGCAGGGGACGCTCGAGGGAGGAGCGAAGGGGACTTGCGCGGGGAGGTGTAGGTAGGGCGGAAGGTGAAGCGTCCGCCTGCGCGTGCGCAGATGGGCGTCGTGCCACACGTTAGCCTCGACCTGCCGCACCATTTCGACCCCCGACGTCCTTCCACATCATCTCTGTCGTTGTCCGTATCCACCCCGACACCGCAGGCACCTGCCTTGCACCTCCACTTGCATCTCCAGGGTCGATAGCCGACGCCAGTTGCGCGCATGGATAGCGCGGGGTCGGCGGGGTCGTTCGGTGGCTCGCCGCCGTTGCTTGCGTCTGGTTCGCCGGGGAGGCCGCCGTCTACTACGGCGACACAAGCGCGCACTGATGCCCCCCGCGCCACAGAAACCAGCACCAATAGCCTACGCCGGTAGCGCGCATGGACAGCGCGGGGTCGTTCGGGACCACAGGTATGTCCCAACCGATGTCTGCATCTTGATCCCCGGGTACGCCGCTATCTGCTACGCCGACACAAGCGCGCACACTGATGCCCCCCGCGCCGTCATCCTTGCTCGCGGCGGCAGCCGCCGTATACGGAGCGACATATACGGAGCGACATATACGCGGAGTGCGGGGGCGAGGACGGTGCAGACGCACAGGCAGGGACAGACGCTGCGTACTGGTAGTGCGCAGACTCCGCAGATCGGTGGGGAACACAAGTCGCATTCCGGCAGAACGCAGACTCCGCATGCGGGCGAGACGCAGACGCCGCATACGGGCGGGGAAAAGCTCGGTACAAGGGTGCGGGGCTGGGCGGGCACGGACGGGGAAGTATCCGTATCCATGGGGGTATCCGTGGGGTTATTGTCCGTCCGCTGTGGGGAGAGGGTGCGGGCGGGCGGCAGTGGGCACAAGCAAATTCTTCAGGTCTACATGTGTAACGTCTGCATGCACAACCCCGCCCGCCCGCGCGCGCAGAAGGAGGCGAGTGGTGATGTGG